TCAGTTGTCCACTATGAAGGAAAGTATGAACACAGGTGAATGAAAATACACAGGTAAACCCCCCACCTCATTTCAACAGATAATGACTGGTTGAAACTCCACCAATAATAGTGCTGATTGCAGGTAAATGGTGAAATTTGAGTCTCACTTCCTATTCTTAGTCCTGTCGTTCAGTGAGAGGAGACTGCTTTAAAAACTGAAATGCAAAATAGTATCAGGAAGTGGAAAAGACAACTGCAATTGGAAAGTTCAGTTTGTCTACCAGCTAGATGTTCTGACAGAGGTTTTGAACTCCTTTTTTGTCTAGAATGTTTGCGAAATGTACTTTTCTCTATTATTGAAAATTATGTGCACAAACATACAAATCAGTATCAGGAATCTATTTTGTAGACCTTTTTAAACAAAATGTGAGTTACAGTTTGAACACAGCAAAAGCTCCCTTTTCCCTAGCACTGAGAAAGCACCATATATGAAAATTTCCCTTCATAAAAAAGTGTGTGTGTGTGTGTGTGTGTGTGTGTGTGTGTGTGTGTAGGGAGAGACAACACCATGTAAGTGGCCCAAGTGTAAATATTTTAATCTACCGAAGGGAATTATTTGTTGACTGGAGTGTCAAGCATTTCTGTAAAGGTTTATAAGACAAACTACATTTATTCATGAAATAGCAATAACAATAGGTACATATATTTTAGATAAATTCCCCGGACTGTTGCTGCCCCTTTAGGGGATACTGTAATTCTAGAATCTGGAGCCCTTTAGGTGCATTACAGGGAGAACAATTTTTTTTTTTTTTGGGTCATCATACAGTTTATCTTTGACTCAATTTGTCCCAATTCATTCCCGAATAGGAAACAGGTTTATGTCTTTAAGTGGCTTTGGTCAAAAAATGACTTTAAATACAAAGCAATCCAGAAAGCTGACCCGACTGGTCCAGCTCATCGGAAGGACTTCTCCAACTTACTGGGAAACTATGCAAGCGCAGGTAGTCTACACAAACAGGCAAAGTGAAGCCGAGCCGTAGAGGTTGTATTTTCCAGAGGGTGAGGAGAAAGGCCACGGGGGTCAAGTTGCTCACATGCTACCCTGACCTAGCACACTGAGTGAGTATACACACAAAGGAACACGAAGTTTGAGTTACCAGTCATGCAATGTCTCTAAGTTACAGAGAGAGGATCCTTCAGACAGAAAGACCACCTCCTAAGGATCCCACACCAACAACACCCGGTTGAGCATTCCAATAGTAGATGAAAATGTTTAAGACTTCTTGGTCTGAAAGGGTTTTAGTCCTGACTTCAAGGTAAGATTTAGCTCACAGTTTTTCACCTGCAGCAGCTACCTCAGCCTTGGGAGAGCTTGGTAGAGTCTGGAGACATTTTAAAATACAGTCTGACAAATGCCACCTAGTCAACCTAGGAAGGCACAGAACATACTGTGCGCTAAGATATACAGCGGACTGAGCCCATCATGATGAGCCTCTGAGAACAGACTACCACACTTGAAAACTCATGTTGCTGTAGGGAAGTTCCGTTAATAATGGAATATTTTATTTAAAAAAATGTGAAAGTCTATTTTCAGCATAGACATAGTTAGAATTGGAGGCTTAAACTGGTGTCTGAGAAATGACCAGTGTGCTTAACAAAAGGTCTATTCTTCATCTGGATAAGAGTTAAGTAGGTGCCGTGTACATACTATGTGTTTGAGGAGATAGGGGTCTTGGAGAAGTTTGGTTATAGGTTTTAGTATTTGTACTTCACATTTATCATAGCGATGTTGCAGTTTTCTGCCATGACCAAAGGCATCATCATCCCTCACTTGACAGATAAAAATCTTAGCACTTAGTTACTGGGCAGCAAAGGGATAGTGACTTGAAGTGAACCTCAGCAGGAACTATAAGAACCTACTGTCAAGTTCACCAAGGCAGTAGAAGCTGGGGAGGGGCAGGTGGGGCGGGGAGGGAGAGAGGGCCGCAGCAATGAGCTGATCGACTGTTCAGAGGCACTTGTTCTTAGGACCCTGAACATGGGATGCAGCACTTAAACTGCCACCTTAAGACATCAGAAAGGTCATGCACCTTCTACATGCATTCACATTCTCCAAAACCAAATGCCCATCCACTCTGAGGATAGCTGTTTCCGTGAAGAACTTTCCAGTGTAGTTTTTCAATGACATTAAGAATGGAAAGGAATGGACCAACACCAAAGCTCTTGAAAGCATTTGCTCAACAATCAGGGGTCGTCTCTAAAAAAATTGCAGGGGTGAGGGTGATGAGAAGATGGGCAGCGGGGAAATTCATTCTTGAAAAACTGATTGAATTGCATCAAGTACAACAGAAGATGGGTATTAAAAGTGTACACACTTACCCCAGCATGTACTTTTTGAAGGTATCTTGATGTTTAAAATACAAATTTAGTTAGGCCATTGGTAAAAAATGACTTGTGGTTATTCAGGCTGTGGTGGGAGTTGGAGACAATGTAGGAGGTTAAGTGTGTGTGTCTTGGTGGCAAAAGGGCTAAGAAGCCTTGCAATTACCCTGCTACAACTTTTAATACAGTTTGATGACAAGAGCAGCCCCGTTAACCCTGCAGCATTCCCTCTTACAACAAAGATTTAATTTTAAAACTAAAATCGCTTTATGAAATGAGGAATAGAGAATATCCTCTCTTCCCACAAGCTTTATAGCAGAAACATAGGTGTGCATTTACCCAAGCTCTGTGACAATCCACTCTGGAAACTTCTTAGTGAAATTCACACCAGCGTGGGAGCTTCGGGACAGAGAATGAACTAGGAAGGCTCCACTCACTTCCACAGAGGGTTGGAAAATAGAAAGTAACCAAAGTTCCTTGGCCAGGACACTTGGCCCTCATGCTTCCCCGACTGGGATTAAAGTAGTTCAGTGTAGGCATGCCTGACACCTATATGTGACGTAGGCTCCTGACTTGGTCTTTTGGCTGTAGGGCCAATTAAGGTCATTGGCAATGATGTTTCCAGGGAAGGGGTTTACACAAAAGCACAACTCAGCTCTTGACCTTCCACTTTTCTCACCCTGATTTGGCTTGCCCTTATACAATACTCCATAGAGGAAGGGGCTTGTAAGAGCCCTCTGACTTAGGGCTCTTGTATCTTAGGTCCTTGACATCTGCATGTGTGTATGGGACTCAGAGCACAGGAGAGTTTTCTTGGCCTCATTGCTTCATACTGGATTACACAAGTTGAGTTTAACAGCTCTAGCCTTGATGGTGGCCACATTCTTAGGCAGTTACAGAAATATTGCATTGTCATGTAGCTAGGCTTCTGTTGAAACTACTCTACTTTGCTTGCCATGCCCCTTTCTCTTGCCCTTCACTGTGAGTTCTGTGAGTTTTTGAAGTTTGTTGGCCTATTAAAATCTACTAAAACATTCTTGCCTTGCAGGGTGCCAAAGTGGAAATTTATTACAAACGCATGGATCTTAAGCTCAAGGTGAGAAATGACCTGGGTTTTTTTAAAACATCCCACAGGTACTCTTCTGTAAGTTTCACCTTCTAACTTCGTAATAATGTATGTGACCTAGTTCCTTGACTTGGAGGTGGTTATTATCCAATGACACACTTAGTAACCTTGCTCAATAGACTTGCACCCAAAACTTTCACAGGAACTGTGTTTAGTTATGAAAGGAGGAAAAAAAAATCTTGACCATAACCACCAACGAAGGGCAACGGAAAATCACCCTAATGAAACGGTCCATCTAAATCTGCCAGTCTGTGCCTGCCTCAAGTCCACTATCGTGCACAGTTAAGGATGCCATTTTCCTTCTGCGGTTCAATTACAACAGCTGGTGAGATTTGTTGGCTTGTTATTCTCAGACGGTCTTAGAAAATCTGGGAGAAAAAAATACGCGTATTCAAATGGTTTTTCTCCCCCTGCCCCCACTAAATTGCTTCTGGTGTCCTAAAGTGTTGGTTCAACTTATCTTAACTCTAAGGAGTATTCTCTCAGTAACTTAAGCACCTGTAAAAGCTTACAGAATGGGGAGGGATATGCTTCACAATTGGGAACAATGGGATTGAAAAAGACTACAGATAAAAATGGTCTTTTCCTCAACCTTAGAGCCACTGGGATATTGTTTAAATCTATTGGGTAAAAGAAGTCAGGTGAAGTGTGAACAGAAGGCACTGGTTGCGGAGGCAAGTCTCTATCCCATGGGAAGAGGGGCTCTAACAAACTTCAAATTCATCTCTATTCCACGCCTGAGTGATGGTTTCAGAAAGTGGTGGGGATGGTGTGTATATAATGGGGGGCAATTATTAAGGAATTAGGGGGAAGTCAATCCTTTGAGAAGTCTGCAGCCATTCCTACCCTTCTTGGTTTAAAGACTCATTATCTAATGCCTTCAGCCGATGCCCTCAACTGTTCCAAATGTTGGCCCCGAGTTAGGGTCATTGTTTATGTACATAACTAAATTAAGAAGGTGGATTAAATCTCGTTCCAGTCTGGTAAATATGATTGTTGAATATTTACCAGACTGGAACTAGATTTAATCTCTTAGAAAATTTGCAAGGGTTTCAAACACAGTATTTCTATTTCTTTATAGTCACTGGTCTCCTCAGCTATGAGTAAGACTGAAAACCAGACACATTTCCTGAGCAGTAAACTGACCAGACCCATGATGGTCTCCTGAGATCTCTTGCCCACACAAACAGTTCCTCGGTTATCATCCTTACAAAGCGAATCGCCAATTTGAACCCATGGCACAAAACTCAGGTGTAGTGAAATTACAGTCTGAGGTCCCAGCAGTAGCTTAATTTTGAGAAGAAATCTGAAACAAAAAGAGCCTACACAGACAAGTAACAAATTACATGCAAATACCAGATGTTTATAGATGGATAGTCCTTACAAAGTTGAGATCACATATTAACACAGGAAATCTCCCACAAATCGAATGTGTGTATGAGCCATTGACATCAAAGATTTCCCTCAAATAATTACTAGGCAGTAGAAATGAAGGTTAACCAACCATTTATAAATGCTGTTTGTTGATGTGCCCCCTCAAACTGCCTGTATGTGTGGAGGGGGACATTAACAGCCACAGTTGGTCTGCGGCGGAGGAGGGCTTTCCTTGAGTCTTGTGTTCTGCTTGGCGGCAGTGATGGCCGGATCCGTCTCCAAACTCTCGGACATTTTGTCGCAGATGATATCCACAAGACGCTCAAACGTCTGCTTGACATTAATGTTATCCTTGGCACTTGTTTCAAAAAATTCAAACCCTGGAAGAAACAGAAACACAGCTTGGTCATTTTACACTCCGGCTGAAAGTAAATGGGATTTGATTGTGGTTTTCCCTGGTGATTGGGGGAGACTTAAGAGGTGGGCCTAAGACGCAATTTGAACAAATGCTGTCATCTTGCTACCAATTCTTTTGTTCACTGTTATGTTGACATTTGATTTTTCCCTGTCAATTTATTTATGCTACCAGCATGGCTGAATGAACCACCACCACCGACTCTCTTCACAAAAGTTTAGTAAGGGCGACATTAAGAGTCCTCCACCTGGAGTATATCTTTGCCCTCCCTTCCTCCAGCTCCTGGCCACCAGGAAGCTTGTTGGAATCTTGTCTAAGATGTGTGATTTGGCATATTTTCCTTATCCCATTTCAGAGTCGACCACAATTGTTCATGGACATGTTTTCATTAACCTGAGGCTTAGAAGGCTTCATCTGTATATTCTGCTGCAAAAGGGACTACCGAACCCCCCCACCACCCGCCGCGCTCTGACTCTTCCTGAGCCTGCCGTCCGGAGGCCCCACCAAGGCTGGAGGCTGGGCTTCTGGTAAAGTTTCAGTACCTAACTGGACACAAGGTGGCACTAAAGAGTCAGTGGAGTTAACCTTAAATGTGCTTCGACCTCCTTTTGGAGATTTTTGTGTCCTGTTAGGGGAACAGCCCTCCGTGGCTTTGTCTACCACTGCATCTACCTATTGGTGCAGATCAGTAGCAGTGTTTTTACTGACATCTGGAAAAGGACATCTGATATATTTCAAACGAGCTGCCAGAATTGTAAGAAGGCAGTTGCACACTTCTCCCCATCACTGGACCTGGGCAGGAGCAGGCTCCGACTGCTGTTCTGTACACAATCTTATCACTCTATTGTTTGCCTTCACGTTCCATGGGCTCAGCTTGCCAGTTAGTTGCCATGACAACCTCCCCAGTCCATTCAGGGGACTTTGATTTAGGATGTACTGGGCAGGACACAAAAATGCTTTCCTAATCCATTCTGAATTTTACGCCCTATAAATCCTTCTGGTTACATCTGGCCCTATCTCAGAGGAGCCACATGGATTCAGAATGATTACATCATGTGATTTCATCTCAGCTCCTGGGACCCAAGGAGAAAAAAATGGACTCATATTTTACATTCATGTCTAAACCTCTGATAACCCAGAACTACTTTGTTGTTCATGCCTCAGTATTTAGTAAAATAAGCATTTCTCTTGAGTTAAAATTTCTAATTTAGTTATGATAGATGACTAGTTAGAGGACTATATTTGAGCTTGAATCCCGGTAGCTATTGTGTATTCTATTGTTAAAACGTAAGTGAATAATGGCAGGATTGGAGTTAAAGGAGCATGAGTGGGACCAGTTTCTGTAAAATTCCACTGGATAGGTCAGACCTTCTTTGGCTTGTAGTTTGCTTTCTAGTCTCTGTGGAGGGTGCTTCTATAGCTCTCTAACATTCTGGATTTCTTAGCAGAAAACACGAATATAATTCTCTTTCCTAATGTTTGTATATCTACAGAGCTCTGTCATTTGTCTTGCAACAATCTGATCCCATTTTGGAGAACTCAGGTATGGATCCAAACAACATCTTTATTGCGAAGATGTTAGAACTATTTGCATCTTACTGGGGATTTTCCCACTGCTAAGTGCTGTCACAAGATACTAAGACCCCATTGAATACTAAGACCCCTGAATAAGACTTATGAGAAAAAACATCCCATAATTGGGCACAAAGATTTCATGTACAGATTGAATTTTCTCATCTCTTCAGCTAACAGCTTTCTTCCTAGTGCTACTTTGGGAAGGCACTGAACTTGAAGGTATCATAAAAGATTTGGCCATTGTGACAAGATGGTAATCTAGGTAGGTTTTTGTCAAATGGGATTCCTTAAATGATACACCCTGCTGCTGGCGTACAACTTCAGGTCAGTAGTAAAATGATCCTGAGTGCTCTCAGGGGCTTGACCAGGAAAATAACATGATATTATAACAGTTTTGGATAGAAGAGGGTGCCACAGTATGGTAAGTGAGAGAGATTTCCTGTCTTCTGCTTGGTAATCCAACTCTCCCCCCATGTCATGGTTTTTTTTTTTTTTTTTTTGGTTTTATTTTTTTTCTTTTATATATATTTTTTTATTCTTATGTTAATCCCCATACATTACATCATTAGTTTTAGATGAAGTGTTCCATGATTCATTGTTTGTGCACAACACCCAGTGCTCCATGCAGAACGTGCCCTCCTCAATACCCACCACCAGGCTAACCCATCCTCCCACCCCCGCCCCTCTAGAACCCCGTTTGTTTTTTAATGACCCGTTATTTATGACCTGTGCCTTACTTCGTTTACAGAGTTGTCACGAGGCTCCAATGAGACTATGTACAGGTCCCCAGCAAACCAAACATTGCTATGATAATAATAAATTCATATTTGAATGGTTATAACAGGTACTATTCAACGCCCTTGATATAGTAACTCCTTTTATCCATGAGGTAGATACTAGTATTGAAAAAATTTATTGGTTAGGCAATGGAAGCACAAAATCGTCGAGTGCTTTACTCATTTATTTGCTCAGTCTGTAATGGTGAAGCTGGCTTTGAACTACTAACCTGGACACTTTCTTGTTCCTCCAGCTCTCTGCAGAAGTAAGTAATTACTTGGTTCAAGCTGAACTGTAATATACTTCAATGATAAAAGTTTGATAATTAGAAAATAATAACTGAGAAAAACCTCTTAATGAGCACTCTGATACCCTGTGCTACCTAAGATGGATCAAGGTGGCCCTGAGGCCAGCTGTATTGGCAGACCACCTCAGTAAAGTGAATTTTTTGGTTTTCCAGTGTGTGTAAGTCTCAAAAAATGCACATAACTAAATTAAGAAATGCCGTATGGCTTAAAATTGTTAATCATCTGAACTTTCAGTGAGTATCAATCTTTTTGCTGAGGGAGGGTCTTGCTTCAGTGTTGATGGATGCTGAGGGTTGGAGTGGCTGGCAATTTCTTAAGACAATGATGAAGTCTGCAGCATTGATGGACTCTTCCTTTCAGAGCATTTTTTTTTCCATAACTGGAGTCCATCCTCTCAAACCCTGTCACTGCTTTGTCAACCGGATTGAAATGACGACAAAGGACTTATGATATAACAATCTTAACAAGGAGTAGATTTCAATTTCTTTGCTTAGCCCTAAGAGGCAACACCTCCTCCATTCAAGTTTGACCATGAGATTATATCTTCAGGCTCCACTTCTAATTCTCCATGGTTACTTCCTCCACTTAAGTCCTGAAGCCATCCAAGTCCTCCATGAGTGTAATCCACTTCTTCCAAACTCCTGTTAATGTCAATACTCTTTTGATCTCTTCCCATGAATCACCAATTTAGGTAGTGGTATCTAAAATGCAGTACTCTTTTCAGAGTATTGTCAATTCTTGTGCCCAGATCCAGCAGAGGAATCACGATTTATGGAAGATCGAGCCTTACAATGTAGAAGGCTTGAAAGTAGCTAGGACTCCTTGATGGTTCATTAGAAGGCGTGAAAACAATATTCATTTTGTGGCACATCTTCAGCAGAGCTCTTGGGTGACCAGGTACCTTCTCAATAAGCTATACTGCTGTGAAAGGAAATTTTTTTCCAAGCAGTAGGTCGCAACAGGGGGTTTAAAATACTCTCTCAACCATGTTGTAAGCAGCTCTGTCATCATCGAGGTGGTGGTGGTCCATTTCTAGAGCACAGAGTGTATGTAGCAGGACTTTTGGAATGGTAAATGAGCTCTTTTCTGTTATGGAGATGGCTTTTTTCCTTAAAGCCAGAAGCTAGCTGAGGTTGGTTCAAGAGGTTTGCTTCTGCAGCTCCACTCTGTTATGCTTTGGCTTAATAGAACATTGTGGCTGGTTTGATCTTCCATCCAGAGCACTCAAAGTTTCTCCCTGTCATTTGTGTGTTCACTGGGTTAAAACTTTTCCTGTGCATTTACACTTTGACTGTTTCGTGTAAGAAGCCTAGCTTTTGGCCTGTATAAGCATTGGAAAGACGACCTATTGCAGGACTTGATTCGAGATAAGGCCCTAAAGGAGCTAGTTACAATAGTCACATCAAAGATCATGTTCACACACAACCATACAAATATAATGAAGTGATACTATTGGAAAAATGGTGCTCATAGACATGCTTGATACAGGGTTGCAATAAAACTAGCTTTGCCTCCATCTCTACCCTGAATTAGATATAAAAGTTTCTGGAAATGGTTATTTTAGCATCGAGGTGTTTGGATTCAGGGAAGATGCAAGCTTACAATGCCATAAAGGATCCTCTATCCAGTTGACTCAGAATCCAACCTTTTTGAGGCCACTCACCCCCTATACCTATGTATGCTCATGGGTATGTAAAGCCCATGGCCTAAATCATAAAAGATTCAAACACCTCACCCTTTATTCTTCTTTGTTGGATTTTTAGGGCCATTCCCTCCCAGTATTTTAACTTCAACCATAGCAATGTGACCGTATTTTTAGAAATCTTGAACCTCTTATCTATATACACGGACATTAGGGAGAAGCCTGTGCTTCAGTCAGGAACCAGAGTTTTTCTTACTAAACTTACAAGATCATTTCCAATTTACTAGGTAGGACAGTGTGGTTCTGCAGTTCAAATAAGTAGCCCAAGGTGACACAGCAAGCTGACTGTGAAGGCTCACAGAAATCTCCTGATAACTAGGTTACTGATATAGCTTCCAGCCTTGGACACCTGTCCCTCAGACTTGATCAGCCAGTAGTCATAAGTTCAGTGTACACTCTGAATTTCCCAGAGACACTCTGTCATTTCTCTTGGGACACCTGAGCCTTGCACTATACTCCAGTACAGCTCTGGTTCATGTCTCTTCATGCCTGATTCTGAATAATCATTCCTGCCCTTTCCAAAGGTTATTATAGGCACTGCTGGCCTTCATGTGTGACTTTCAGTTTCACTTGACATCAAGAGATGCAACAATGTATAGAAAA